CCAGACTCACCAAGAAGAAAAGAAAGAGGATCCAAATAAACAGAATAAGAAATGAAAGAGGAGAAATAACAACTGAAACTGCAGAAATACAAAAAACTGTAAGAGAATACTTTGAGTAATTATATGCCAGTAAATTGGACAACCTAGAAGTCAACAAGTTTCTAGAAACACGGAGCTCCCAAAACTGAATCAAGAAGAGATAATATGAACAAAACAACTGCTTGAATGTGAATTAGAATGTATAATTAAAAACACTCCCTGCAAACAAAAGTTCAGGATGGGATGGTTACACTGGAGAATTCTACCAAATATACAAAGAAGAACTTATACTGATCCTTCTCAAACTCTTCCAAAAGACTGAAGAAGAGGGAACACTCCAAAGGTCATCCTATGAAGTCACTATTACCCTGATACCAAAACCAGACAAAGACATTACCAAAAAAGAAAATTACAGGTCAATATCTCTGATGAATATAGATGCAGAAATTCTCAACAAATATTAGCAAACTGGATCCAACAATACATAAAAAGGATCATACATCATGATCAAATTGGTTTCACTCAGGAATACAAAGATGGTTCAACACACACCTATCAATGTGCATTTCTTTACACTAACAATGAAATATCAGAAAAGGAAAGTCAGAAAACAGTCCTTTTAAAAGCTGCATCAAAAAACAAAAACAAAACAAAACTTAGGAATAAACCTGACCAAGGAGGTGAAAGAGTTATATGCTGAGAATTATAAAACACTAATAAAACTGAAGGTGATTCAAAGAAATGGAAAGAAACCCCGTGCTCTTGGATTAAAAGAATATTATTAAAATGACCATACTATCCAAAGCAATATACAGATTTAATATGATCCCTACCAAATTACCCATGACATTTTTCACAGGACTAGAACAAATAATTTTAAAATTTATATAGAACGACACACACACACACACACAAGCCCGTCACAATTGCCAAATTAATCCTCAAGAAAAACAACAAAGCTGGAGGCATAACCCGCCGAGACTTCAAACAATACTATGAAGCTACAGTAATTCCAACAGTGGGACACTGGCACAGAAACAGATATATGGATCAACGGAACAGGACACAAGAGCCCAGAAATAAACCCACAGCCCTGTGATGAATTAATCTTTGATAACTGACGCAAGAATACACAATGAAAAAAAGTCTCTTTAGCAAGTGGTGTTGGGAAACCTGGTAAATCAATGAAATTAGCACACTCCTTACACAAGAAAATACTCAAAATAGCTTAAAGACTTAAATGTAAGACATGACACCATTAAACTCCCAGAAAAGAACACAGACAAAACATTCTCTGACATAAATTTTATCAATATTTTCTTAGGTAGTCTCCCAAGGCAATAGAAATAAAAACAAAAATAAACAAATGAAACCTAATCAAAATTATGAGCTTTTGCACAGCAAAACAAACTGAAAAGACAACCTATGGACTGGAAGAAAATATTTGCAAATAATGCAAACGACAAGGGACTAATTTCCAAAACACAAACATCTCAAACAGCTCAATGACAGAAAAAAAAAAAAACCCAATAAAAAATACACAGAAGACTTAAAAATATTTTTCCAAAGACATACAGATGACCAAAAGGCACAGGGAAAGACATTCAACACTAAAATTAGAGAAGTGCAAATGGAAACTACAAGGTATCATCTCACACTGGTCAGAATGGCCATCATCAAAAGTCTACAAATAATAAATGCTCGAGAGGGTGTGGAGAATAGGGAACCCTCCTATAAGTTGGTAGAAATGTAAATTGGTACAGCCACTATGGAAAACAGTATGCAAGTTCCTTAAAAAACCAAAAATAGAGTTACTATAAAATAGTTACTAAAAATAGAGTTACTATATGACCCAGCGATCCCACTCCTGGGCACATACCCAGAGAAAATCAAAATTCGAAAAGATACATGCACCCCAATATTCTCTGCAGCACTGTTTACAATAGCCAGGATGTGGGAGTAACCTAAATGTCCATCAGCAGAGGAGTGGATAAACAAGATGTGACATAGGCACAGGCACACACAGAATACTACTCAGTCATAAAAAAGGAAATAATGCCATTTGCAACAACATGCAGGTACCTAGAAAATGTCATACTAAGTGAAGACACACAAAGACAAATATTGTATGGTATTGCTTATATGTGGAATATAAGAAAGTGTAGCAAATGGACAGAAATAGTCAGAGGTGTAGAAAACAAACTTGTGGTTACCAGGCGTGAGAGGGGAAGGATACATCAGGAGACTGGGGCTGACACAGACTCACTACTGTATGTACAGCAGACACTAATAAGAACCCACTGTATAGCACAGGGAGCTCAACCTAACACTCCAGAATGACCTATCACATCTAAAAAAGATCGGATATATGCATAGCTGTAGGGGCTTCCCAGGTGGTGCTAATGGTAAAGAACCCACCTGTCAATGCAGGAGACTTGAGACACTCAGGTTTGAGCCCTGGGTTAGGAAGATCCCCCGGAAGAGTGCATGGCAACTCACTCCAGTATTCTTGCCTAGAGAATCCAATGGACACAGGAGCCTGGTGGGGCCACAGTTCACAGGCTCACAAAGAGTCAGACATGACTGAAGAGACTCAGCACACACGCGTATGTGTAACTGACTCACTATGCTGTATGGCAGAAACTAACAACACTGTCAGTCAGCTATATTCTAATAAAAATTTAAAAAGAGAGATTATATATACAATGGAATATTACTCAGCCACAAAAAGTGTGAAATAATGCCATCTGCAGCAACATGGATGGACCTAGAGACTATCATACTAAATGGAAGTAAACCAGAGAAAGACAACTATCATATGGTATCACTTACACATAGCATCCAATAAATGATACAAACAAACTTATTTCAAAACAGAAACAGGCTCACAGACAGAAAAGAAACCTAAGGGGAATGAGTGGGAGAAGGGATAAATTAAGAGTTTGGCATTAGCAGATACAAATTGCTATGTATAAAATCAAACCAACTATGTTTCAATAAAAAAATTTTAAAACAGAAAATAAAGCATAATGGAAAAGAATCTGAAAAAGAACATATAGTATAGATGTGTATATACATAACACCACTGCTGAAACTAACACAACTCTGTAAATCAACTGTACTTGAATTAAAATTAAAAATTAAAAAATATTAAAACATTAGAGTTGTGACACTAAAATGACATAGCTGATTATTAATATATATTTTTCCATGCTGGTCTGTTGATGTATGCTGCGCTAGTTCCATCAAGATTATCAGCATTAATATATTAAATAATAAACTAACACAAGATCTATGGACTCCACATCCAGAGACTGACTTCTCAGGGACAGCCAAAAAATCTGTTTTTAGAAGCTCAGTGTTTTTGATGTTCTGCTAAGTAAGAGAAATAGTAATGAACTAGGAATCCACCAGTGGTCACAAAACTTACACAAATAACATCTTCCTGTGCCTTGTTTTATCTTTAAAACGGTAATTCAACTAGATGAAAACTAAGATCCTTCCCTGGGTCAGAGGTCAAGGTTTACAAATTCTTTGATTACTGAGTTGAGACAAGCTTAAACTACTTGAACACTGTAAACATTCAATAAATGTTTAGTGATGAGGGACCCAAATTATATTAGCTCTGAAAGTTTACAAAAGATTGAGATTGGGGTTATTTCCCAGGGTTCAAAAAACGTCCGTTTTTTGTACAGTCCATCATAATGTGTATGTATGCTAAACTCCACGGGGTCTCAAAAGAGTTGGATACGACTGAGCGACTAAATGCACACACCAACTCAAGATCTTTGTTGTTCAGTCGCTCAGTCGTGTCCAACTTTTTGCAACCCAATGGACTGCAGCATGCCAGATTTCTCCTGTCTTTCACCATCTTTGCAGCTTGCTCAAACTCATGTCCATTGAGTCAGTGATGCCATCCAACCAGCTCGTCCTAAGTAAGTACAAATACCGTGCCAAGGACCCTGGGCACTAAACAACAGTCTTAAGAGATGGGGGGGGGGGGGGGG